GTAAGCGGCCGGTTTATGCCGCAGCGACGATTGATGCAGTTTCGGCTGGCCGCCAATGCCAGGGCAGCAGTTCATCGAGTGCATTGATCTTGTGATCGTTGATGCGGGCCAGAATATCGGCGAGGTAGGCTTGGGGGTTGAGGTTGTGGAGTTTGGCGGTCTCGATGATGGTCATCGCATCGGCAAGCGTTTCCCCACCCGCATCGGAGCCGGCGAACAGGAAGTTTTTTCTTCCGAGCGCGATGGGCCTAATGGCGCGCTCGGCGGGATTGTTGTCGATCGCCACGCGCCCGTCTTCAAGGAATAGGCTGAAGGATGTCCAGCGCTTGAGACCATAGCGGAAGGCCTTAGCTACATCGCTCTTGCCCGAGATACGCTCGAGCTGATCCTCGGCGAAGCGCCTGAAGGCCTCGACGACCGGCTTACTCTCAGCCTGTCTGACAGCGAGGCGCTCCTGGGCTGAACATCCGGTGATGCGCCGTTCGATGTCGTAGAGCACGCCGATGCGGTTGATGGCTTCGAGCGCAATGGGGGATTTGCTCGATGTCCACTCGTCATGGAAGTCGCGCCGCAAGTGTGCCCAGCACGACGCCTCGCGGATACGCTGCTCACCAGTCATGGGATCTGGTTCGTAGAGCTGCCCGAAGCCTGTATAGGCATCGGCTTGCAGGATCCCGGAGAACGCGGCCAGATGACTTTGCGGGTGCTCGCCCTTACGATTGGGTGAGAACAGATAGGTGGCTGCCGGCGGGTCGTCGCCGGCGAACGGGGTGTCATCACGGACATAGACCCAGATGCGTCCCTCTTTGACCGCGCGTTTGGCGCCGCCCGAAGCAATCGCCACCTTGGGATCGAGAACCCGCACGGGCGTGTCGTCGGCATGCAGCCGGTCCGCTGCAAAGACATGGTCGCGAATACGCGAGACCAGAGGCTTGAGCACGCCAACCGCCTGACCGCACCAGTCGATCAGTGTCGAGCGCGGAATATCGGCGCCCATACGGGTGAAGATCTCACCTTGACGATAAAGGGGAAGATGGTCGTCGTATTTGCTGACCAGGATGTGGGCGAGCAGCCCCGGACCTGCCATGCCGCGGGCCACCGGGCGGGTCGGCGCCGGTGTCTGCACCATGGCTTCGCATTTGCGGCACGATTTTTTGGGCCGGGCGATCTCGATCTTCTTGAGTTGCGCGGCAACCAGATCGAGGATCTCCGAGACGTCTTCACCAACCAGGCGCAGCTCGCCGCCGCAGTCTGGGCACTCTGAGCCGGGATCAAGGGTGCGGCGTTCAGTGAGAACGTGCTCGTTCAGAACCGGCTTGCCACGCCGGCGGGGACGAGAGGTGTTCTGTGGCGCTGCAACGGCCTCGTCCTTATCAGCAGACTGGTCGACCGCGGCTCTGGCAACCTCCAGTCCTTCGAGGGCCAGCTCAAGCTGTTCGATATTGCGAGCCACTTTCTCCGAGGAGGTGCCGAACTTCTGCTTCTTGAGCCGCACGATCTGGACCCGAAGAGCATCGACCAGCGCCTCATAGGCGCGGTTGGATCGGGAGAGCTCCTGGATCTGACTGGCCTGTGCAGCGATGATCGCGCGCAACGCATCGAGATCGTCAGGCAGGTGTTCGGCAGGGCCCGTCATGATGAACGAACCCTATCAGAATCCGGCAGTTAGCACCAGAATCATCATGCAAAAACAGTGAGATAATCCGCCGCAACGATCAGGAAAACCGCTCGGGCGGCGTGCCCCAGTTGGGTCGGCGCCAATCGATCCCCTCCCACAACATGGCCAGTTGCGCCGAGGTCAGACGCGCCGTGCCATCGGCGGCGGATGGCCAAGGAAAGCGCCCCTTCTCGAGGATCTTGTAATAGAGGCAGTACCCCTGGCCGTCAAAATAGAGGATCTTGACCCTGTCGCCGCGGCGACCGCGAAAGGCAAAGACGGATCCACTGGCAGGTTTTTGCCGCAGTTGGTCCTGCACGATCGCAGCAAGGCCGGCGATACCCTTCCTCATGTCGGTCACCCCGCAGGCCAGATAGACTCGCACGCCCGTACCCGGCCCAATCATGTCGCCTCGGCAATCCGCATCAGTCGGATCCACTGCGTATCACTCAGCCTCGTCGACGCCCGAATACTGCGTCCGTTGGTGAGAACCACTTCGATGAGGTCGACCGAACCGGAATGAGCATCGCTTGTGCCGGAAACTGCATCTTCGGCAACCTCGACCGGCACCAGAAGACCCTTCCGATCACTGATCAGTCCCTTGCGGCGCATCTCGGTTCGCCACTGATAGATATGCTGGCGGGTGATATCGTGGCGGCGCGCGACACTGGCGACGGTCTCACCATCAACGCCCACCTCGCCGAGGATCGTAAGCTTCTCCTCGTCCGGCCAGCGGCGTCGGCGCTCAACCCCTGTGATCACCTCGTAGCGCATGCTGTTCCCGCCACTCACGTTGCTGACGTCAAAAACGACGCCAATAACGACGGTCATTACACGTCAGCACGCGCCCCGAAAGGCGGCCCAACCCGGCCGGTTAC